TCAACACATGAGCTTTTGTGGGGTATAATTTCATATTCAAATCATAAGTACATGTGAATACCCAGTTTTCTGGTGCCACTGTCATAACTATTCTTTTAACAAAAAAATCAGTAAATATTAGTAGATATGAATAGACTAATATTAGAACCCTCAGTTCTGTTCTTCTGACTAGTAAGTATGTCCATATATCTGTCTCTTTTTATCAGCACATCTTCTTGATTGCTATATCTGTGTAACAATATTTGAAGCTAGGAAATGGCAAGCTTCCAAAATTTGTTCTTCTATTTAAGTTTGGGGCTATTCTGGGCTTTTGTGTTTTCAAATGAATTTTAGGATTGGCTTGTCAGTTTCTACCAAAAAAAATTGGTAGCTGTAATTTTGACTCTCTGTGCAATTTAGAGTGCACATTAGTTACTTTTGCTTAGCTGTAATAAATATCTGGTGCAGGTGATGGGGGGTGGGTTGGGAGGTTATTTTGCTTCATGATTTCAGAGTTTTTGGTCCATGGTTCCTTGGACTCCTGTCCTGAGCAACGAGAACATCATAGTGGGAGGGCATGTGGAAGTGGTACCTCACTTTATGGCCCTCAAGAAGCACACAGAGAAATGGAGCTGGGAACCAGGTGTAACCTTTGATGGCACACTCGAGGTGATTCACTTCTTCCTGATAGGATCACCTTCTAAAGTTCCCGTCTCTTTCTGAAACAGTACCAGCAGCAGGGACCAAGCATTGAAACCATGGACCTACAGAGGAATATGGATTCCTATTCAAACCATAACATTCTACCTCCCTAAATGCCTGGCTACCTCATACTGTAACCCTAACTCTAACCCTAACCCTGAGTTCCAACCCTAATCCTAACCCTAACCCTAATCGTAATTCTGGTCTCCCTTCCAAAACGGGAGCGGAGCTTCTGTGACCCTGTAACTCCATATTCATTCTGTATGCATGCTACATTGATGCCCTCCATGCTCAGTAAGGCTGAGTCCCTGAGGACAGTAGGCTATTCCAAAGACCTGGGTGGAGATAACCAGAGGACTCCCGGAGTTTGAGATTAAGAGTAGTACAAAGAAAGCCCTTCTCCTCTTTAGTAGTAAAGCAAGAAAACATAAGGTGATGTTTACAGTAAACTTAAGCAAGTATGAGTACAGTGAGGGAATTGTCTTAGTCACTGTTCTATTGCTGTGAAGAGACACCAGGACCAAGATAATTCTCATGAAAGAAAGCATTTACTTGGGGGCTTGATAACAATTTCAGAGGTTTAGACATTTATCATCGTGGTAGCATGCAGGCAGGTGCTGGAGCAGTAGCTGAGAGCCACATGCTGATCTGAAGATAAAGAGGGGGACACTGGGCGTGGCATGGGCTTTTGAAATCTCAAAGCCCATCCCCAGTGACACATTTCCTCCATCAAGGCCACCAGCCCTAACCCTTCTAACCCTTTCAAGGAGGGCCACTCTCAGGTGACTAAGCATTCAAATAAGTTAACCTATGGGGGGACGTTCTTGTTCCAATCACCACAGAGCATAGCTGGAGCTATGTCTCATCATCTCTGATCACATGAAAAGAGCCAGGAATATTCCTCCTGGGCCTTTGCCTTTCCCACAGAGATAATGTAGACATGCATTTCTTCATTGTCGCTGTTTGCAAATGCATCCACTTCTCATAGTTTCTGCAATTCTTTTCTAGAATGCCACCTTGTGGGAAGAACATTCTACACATGCCCCATCCATAGTTCACAGTAAGTTCAAAGTTCACCGCTCTCTCTCTCTCTCTCTCTCTCTCTCTCTCTCTCTCTCTCTCTCTCTCTCTCTCTCTCTCTCTCTCTCTCTCTCTCTCTCTCCAAGACAGGGTTTCCCTGTGTAACAGCCCTAGCTGTCCGGGAACGCTCACTGCAGACCAGGCTGGCCTCTAACTCACAGAGATCCACCTGCCTCTGCCTCTTGAATGCTGGGATTAAGGGCATGCGCCACCACAGCTTTCTTACACAGGGTCTCACAATTCTAACTCAGCATGGTGTGGGTGACACTGTGATCTGTCAACAGCTTAACTAGTAGTTGACTCCCTTTGCACCATGGCCACATTGGCCTCTGAATACTTAAGGCAGAGAACATGGTGAAAGAAATGCTGGGAAGATCCTTCCTGGATAGTCTTGCTTGTACAACCACAGTGCCCCGGAATGGCTTTTCTGTTGAGCAAACCTCTAGAATTAGTTTATCCTTTCATGTCTTTAAGCCTGCAATGGGTGGGGTGGAGTCTGGCAAGTTTCTAAAATGATCTTAGAGTATCTCCTATTATCTGGAGGCAAAGTCCTAGTCTTCCTGGTGTTTTGTTTCATTAGTTAGTTTAGGTTTTTCAGGGTTCTTTTTGAGGAGTGTGCACTTTCTTTTCTTTTTCATCTCTGTCTCTCTGTCTCTGTCTGTCTCTGTCTCTCTCTCTCTCTCTCTCTCTCTCTCTCTCTCTCTCTCTCTCTCTCTCTCTCTCCCTCTCTCTTTCTCCTCTCTCCTTTCTTAGAGGCAGAGTGTTATTATGTAGCTCTGGATGTTTTAGAACTTTCTCTATAGACTAGGCTGGATTCAAAGTTTCTACAGTCCCCCCTGCCTCTGCCTCTTGAGTTTGGTATTACAAGTATGCACAACCAAGTCTATCCTGGCTTCGTTTTCATTGTACTAATCCCAACAGAAATCGCATCTCTCTTAGCCTCAGTTCACAGAAGCCTTCCTGACCAAACTGCAAGTTTTAACAGGCTTTCTCAGCTCCATCTTTCACTCCGAATTCTACTATAAACTTTGCTAAAACCTGCCAGCAATACTCATGCCAAAACCTAAATCCTGGGCTCCCTTAGGATGTTCTCTTAATTAGTGGGTCATCTTTAAACCTAGCATCCCACTAAGACTTTGAGGTCTAGACAACATGTTTTTTTGCTACGGTGTAACAAAGGGTGTTTAGTCTAATCACCAATAGAGTCTGTGTCCACACCTCACCTCCCACCAGTCTTGACAGTCTTCATTCTTTCAACTATTCTGAACTGGCCTCCAGCCAGAGCTCCCATGAAGCTTTGCTTCTAGCTTGTTAGGGCCCCTCTGGCCTGTATATCTCCAGATGTTCCAGAGTCATTCTATAAAGGCATTCCAGAGGCTTCTGAACTTCACTGTCAGGTGTACTTACACTAACAAGCCCATTCCTGGTACAGACGGCTTCAGCTAGTTCTTTTTCATTACTGTAACAAAATGCCTCTCACAAGCAACTTAAGGAGAGGACAGGGTTGTTCTGACTCATGACTCTGGATGTTTCCATTCATAACCACCTGGCCCCAGGCACTTGAGCAGATCATCACAGGGAGTGGTGTGGGATGGGAGAGCTATTTTCACCTCATGATGGAAAGGAAACAGAAAGCATGAGGGACCAGGCTCTAGGCTCCTTCAAAGACACATGTGAGTGACTCAGTTCCTCCAGCTAGCCCTCATCATCTGTTTCTACCATTTCCCCCTAGTTTTGTTGTTGTTGTTTTTTTTTTGTTGTTGTTGCTTTTTTTTGTTGTTGTTGCTTTGTTTTATTTTGTTTTTTACTGTTTTGACTCTTTGGGGAGCCTGCCACCCAGCTCCCAAATAATCTACATGGAGGCTTGTTCTTTCTTATGAATGCCCAGCTTTAACTTGGCTTGTTTCTAACCAGCTTTTCTTAACTTTTTCCTATCTACCTTTTTGCCTCTGGGATTTTATCTTTCTGTATTCTATATACCTTTCTTTTCTCTCTCTCTCTCTCTCTCTCTCTCTCTCTCTCTCTCTCTCTCTCTCTCTCTCTCTCTCTCTCTCTCTCTTTCTCTGGGTTTTCTTTGTGTAGCTTTTCTGGAGCCTATCCTGGAATTAGCTCTTGTAGATCAGGCTGGTCTCAAATTCACAGACATCTGCCTGCCTCTGCCTCCCAAGTGCTGGGATTAAGGGCGTGCATCAACACACCTGGCTACCTTTCTTTACTTCTTACTCCATCCACAGCTTGCTGTGTACTAGGTGACTGGCCTCTGGAGTCTCCCTCCTTCTCTCACTCCTCAATCTTTTCTCTTCCCAGATTTCTCCTCCTATTTATTCTCTCTGTCTGCCAGCCCCACCTATCATTTCTCCTGCCTTGCTATTGGCCGTTCAGCCCTTTATTAGACTAATCAGTTGTTTCAGACAGGCAAAGACTCACAGTTTCACAAAGTTAAACAGATGCAACATAAAAGAATGCAACACATCTTTACACCATTAAACAAAATTCAACAGCATAAGCAAATGTAACACATCTTTAAATAATAGTCCACAATATCTCCTCAACAGCCTCCTCTGAGCCTATGAGGACATTTCATACTCAAAAGATGGCAGGAATGCTATAGAAAAATGTACTTTTCATAATTTAATTTTTGAAATGCTCACTGATGATTTTTATGTGATTTTGTCTCCTACTACTTTGCTGAGGTCATTAAAAACATTTGTTTGATTGCAGATGAAATGTATTTTATTTGCTTTATTGGTATAATTTTGTAGTGATATTTGCTCCCCGCCCCCAAACAGAATAAAAGATTTTCATTTGTTTTTACATAACCTGCGGACTGTTATCTGATTTTGAAATTTACTGTGATAATCATGTTTTTGTTTTATCCCGCTGTGGCACTACTAGGAGGTGTGGCTTTGTTGGAGTGGGTGTGGCTTTGTTGGAGGAAGTGTGTCACTGCAGGGGTGGGCTTTGAGGTCTCCTATGCTCAAGCTACAACCAGTGTGGATACAGACTGCAGCTGTTGCGTGCGGATGAAGATGCAGAACTCTCAGATCCTTCTCCAGCACCATGTCTGCCTGCACGCCACACACCATAATGATAATGTACTAAACTTCTGAACTGTAAGATGGCCCCAGTTAGGTTTTTTTCCTTTATAAGAATTGTCATAGTCATGGTGTTTCTTGACAGCAATGGAAACCCTAACTAAGACATCCACTGATACATGCATTGATTTCTAAAGTCTTCTCAGAGGTCGCATCACTCCTGGAGGCTCTGGAGTATCAGGTGAATGTGTAGAATGAAGTGAGCAATTTCACTGTTCTGTGCCCCAAAGCCATTTAATATATTGTGTTCAAGTGAGGATGTACCTGAACTTAGATCAATAATAACAGATATTACGCTTGATCTTAGCCAAGGGGCTGAAATGGGATAGTAACTAATTTCAAACGTAAGCTGCCTGTGTATTCTGTGATAAACGTAATTTGGTCAAATATAGATTAATCGTACATGTTGTTGAATTAGGTTTTCTAGTCACATCCAAATTCTTTAGGATTTTGAGTTAGAGAGCTGTGGAGATGTGATATTATGGTATACATGTACATATGTGTTATGGTCTGTGTGAGACAGACAGACAGACAGACAGAGAGAGAGAGAGAGAGAGAGAGAGAGAGAGAGAGAGAGAGAGAGCTTCTGTTCTCTAAAGCACACAATGAAAACTCTGAACTTCTTCTGTTGTGGTGCTGGCTCTAAGTAATTCTATAACCTACTGTTGGTGATAGCAGGTTATAAATTCCTGCCTCCATTCCAGGGGAGGCAACCTAAGCAGTACAGGATTGAGAGAGGTAACAACTCTTCTTAAATTCACCTATATAAGAGAGGTCAGGAATACTGAAGTAGACAGGCTTTTCTGGGTTCCCTCACCCAAGCTATCGACACTGGATAATACAATGATTCCTGTGCAATGAAGTCTTAATAGTACCCCCAGAAGACAGAACAGGACCCAGAAAACAACAGGACTCAGTAGGTTTCCAGATAGCTAAATACATAAAGGTTCTAAGAAGCTGAGACTCGAAGAGAGCACACAGAAACTCAGTACCTATTCTGCCATGTGTTGTTTCACATGTATCGTTGTAGTACTCTTTAAAAAATCAATATGTTGGAGCTAGAGATATGGCTCAGTGGTTAAGAACACATAGTACTCTAGCAGAGGACCTAAGTTAGTTCCCAACACTCATGTTGTTTAGCTCACAATTGCCTATAACTCTAGCTTCAGGGGTACACTGGCTAGTTTTATGTCCACTTGACATAAGCTAGAGTCATCAGAGAGGAGGGAGCCTGTAAGATGCGGCTGTAGGCAAGCCTGTGGGGCATTTTCTTATTTAGTGTTGATGAGGGAGGGCCCAGCCCATTGTGGGTGGTGCCATCCCTGGCCTGCCAGCCCTGGGTTCTATAAGAAAGCAGGCTGAACAAGCTAGTAAGCAGTACCCCTCTGCATACAGCCTCTACCTCAGATCCTCCCTCCAGGATCTTGTTCTTTTGAGCTCCTCCTGTTCTCACTTCCTTTGATGATGAACTGTGGTGTGGAAACACACACTGAATAAACCCTTTCCTCTCCAAGTTGAGTTGGTCATGGTGTTTCATCACAGGGAGAGTAATCCTAATTAAGACAAGGGATATCCTACACCTGGACCCACATACATGTACATAAACACACACAGACACACACATACACACTGATAGTAAAGCAATACTAGTAAATGAAAATAATTTTAAAAGAAAATCATCTCTGTGTGTTTTCCTTACCATGGGAGACGTCAGTAAATTAATTGAACTCAAAGTGATAGTGAAACTGAGTGTGATAGATTCTCAGCCTCAAACAGAATAAAGCCAAAACAAGGACAGCTAAGTCATAAAAGGCAGAGAAAACTATGTCCATTGTAGAAATATAGAGACTGTGAAAGTCACTTCTAAAGCAATGCTCTTCCTTGAACTAAGGAAGTATGGGGGTATTAATCAGGTAGCCTATTCATATTCACGGAGAGGAGTGATTTACTAGTGGGTACCCTTCTGAGCACGCTCAGTTTAAGGTCTAATTTAAGAAGGAAAGATAGACATATTTATGGGCACACTTAGCTCAAGGTCATAGATCAGGTGTTTCTACTCTTGTAAAAGAGTCCTAAGAATATATGCACATGTAAAAGTAATTTAAATGGAGTTATCATATAAGGGGGAGATGATGCCCAACTAGACATCATATACTATCAAATAAAAATCACCAGTACCAGAAATGAATTACATTTGTTCAGTCATTGGCCAAAGGGATTCCATGGAAACTCCCAAACTTAACAAGCTATCGTCAATGCTAATAGTTACCATTTAGAACCTGATGGTAAGACCCCACTGCTGATGACATGTTATCATGGAGTAATTGAGTTGGTGCCCAACTAGAGGCTTCACCCCTAGTGAAGTGCTTGAAAGTATTATACATCTAACAGAGAATAAAAGTTATCACCAGTCTTACAGAGCTACAGACCATTCCAACTACACAAGTGACCTACCTATAAGTTAAACCCACTGGTGAAATAGTGGTACAAATGTTATGGGATTAACCAATCACCTTTTAAAATTGGATTGAAAGCTGGCTCCATGAGATGGAACCCATATGCAACACTGTTAATGAGGTCAAGAACCTGAGATTAGATAGGTCATGAGCCCTAGGGGAAAACCCATTATTCTGCTAAATGAACATAGCAATAAAATGTTCCTAATTACATATTGCCATACCCATAGATCAGTGCCATGCTCAACTCTAATCAGAGAAGCTTTTTCATGCAGTAGGTGGTAATTCACACAGATCCTCACAGCTGACAATGTGCAGGGAATGAGAAACTTGGAAGCACTCAGTCCTAAATGAGCTGTCTTTATCCCAGCCCTCCTCTCAAGGCTCAGAATTATGCAGAACAAGGGGTGGAAAGATCATAAGTTACAGAGGTGATGGAAGATTCCAAGGTAATAGTGTTTTCTAGACCCAACATATGAATTCACAGTCGTTGTGGCAGCATGCACCAAACCTATACAAGTTCAAGCCAGACAAATTTCCAGGACAGAGAAGAGAAAGTGGGTACAGAGTCCCAGCCCTAACCAAAAATATATTTCTAATTGATGACTGTTGAAAATGGGAAAATTAGTTTGCTTCAATGGAGTGATACTGGGCATATCATCCATATTTCAAGAAAGACTTCATGCTCAGGACTTAGCCAACAAAAAGCAGATTCTATGTTTTTTTTTTCTTTAAGAGAGAGAAAGAGCATGGAGTGGGGTGGATAGGGAGTGGAGGGATGATCTTGGAGAAGCTGAGGGAAGGGAAAGAATACTATCAAAATATATTGCAGGAAAAAAATTCTAAAGGTTAAAATGGTGGGCAGGAATGCCACTGGCCATGCTCAGCTCATGTCACAAAATTTTAGCTAAAGATGAAGGAAAGGACAATTTGACAGTCCGTGAGGAGAGGAGTTTGCTCTCGAAGGTGCTAACACTCGGAACCCTAACTTATAGCTTGTGGTCTGAAGCACAAGGAAAACTACCCAGGGCTTGTGATGGCACCAGTCCTAATCTGAGGGGTTTGGTGCTGCCCAGGTAGGAAGTGGTGGACTTTAGTTGAATAGGGAGGTACCCATTAGACACTCTGAAAAAGAGATTGTCTGCTTCTTGGTGGGAAGAATGATCCTTGATATATTGAAGCCATGGAAATCTGTGCTGACCTTTGTGGAATGAGAATAAAAGAGAAATACAGTCTGCGTTGGTTTTTTTGTTTGCTTGTTTTGTTGTTGTTGTTTTCCAACACAGCAGTTTGTAAGAAACTGAGGATTGTAATAGTTTGTCTTAGTTTGCATTTCTATTGTTGTGATGAAACACCATCTTGGGGAGGAAAGGGTTGGTTTGGTTTACACTTCCACAGCACTGTTCATCACAGAAGGAAGTAAGGGCAGGAGCTTAAAGAGGGTAGGAACCTAGAGGCAGGAGCTAAACAGAGGCCACGGGAAGTGCTGCTTACTCTCTTGCTCCTCAAGGCTTAAGCAACCTGCCTTCTTATAGAACACAGGATCACCTGCCCAAGGATGGTCCCACCCACAATGGGCTGGGCCCTCCCCCATCAATCACTAATTAAGAAAACACCTTACAGCCAGATCTAATGGAGGCATTTTCTCAATTGAGGTTCCTTCCTTTCAGACAACTCTAGCTTGTGTCAAGTTGGCATAAACTAGTCAGCACATAGTTCTTGTAATATTTGGTACATACCGTCAGTGAAGCTACCTGTCCAGGTCTTTTCTTTGGAAAAAAAAAATAAAAAATCATTAGTCTATTTGTTACCGGTTCTTACCTCCAAACTGGGTCCCTTTGCCTCGGAGCAATGTAAGCAATATAATCAGCACCAATGGAACATTTTAGAAAACTTTCATTCTTGGTCCAAAGCAGGATAAACGAAAGGTAAAGTCACAAGTCAATTTCCCAGCCTTCCAGAATGCAGTTATAAATGGAGTGAGGATATGGGGCAGGTATGACAAAGGTCACAGTATTCTCAATTACTATCAAAACTGATCAGTTTTAACAATACTTAATACAAGGACACTTCAGTTTACTGGGGAAGAGTTCCAAGGTTCTTTTTGAAAATCAAAACCATAACTTCTTGAGCATGCTAACTTGTATAAGCCTTATGTAAAACAGCTTAGTATTTGCAAACAACCTGTCTGCCCCCCCCCACATACTTGAAATCACCTCTAGATTACTCACACTTGAAGCTACGTACCTGCTCTATAAACAGCTGTTACGCCACATTGTTTAGAGAGTAGTGATGAGAAATGAGCCCATCAGTGTCACTATACTTGATTTTCTAACAGGCTTCACTGTGGAATCCAAGGATGAAAACCATGCGGCTAGGGAGGAAATCTAACCTACATTTCTGGAACAAATGTTTCTCCAGATGCCCTACGCCCTTTGGAAAATTTCTGAAGATCTAAGTGGCTGTTTTTGCCTTTTCTTTGAAAATAGGTTTTCCTTTGTCACCCTAATGTGCTAGCAAGAATGTCCTCTGCCATCTGGGTAGTCCAACTCAGCTGTTCATGGAGGAGGCACAAAGCATTGCATGGTCAATTCCGAGGACATCACACAGTCTGGGAAAATACATAGGCATGTATGTACCCATGTATGCAGGGAGGCCAGAATGCCGCTTAATTTCATCTTGTGATTCCTCAATCACTGAACATAAAACAAATCCAAGCAATTTGTTCCATCCCATCTCTCAGAATCAATTACCAAGGTTTCGTTTTCATGTCTAATGAGTCTATGGTGAGCTGTTTTTCAGCCTCACTTCAGCAAAACTTTCAGAGAAATGGCATATGCTTAGGATGTCCTCCTTTAAAAAAATGTTCATTTTCACAAATCAAATACCCTCCCATTTTCAGAATTACAAGTATCGTTGTCTCTGCTAAAACAGGATTTAAAGATGCTTAACACACCTTAAAATTTGAGCTTAGGAAAGTAATTTTACAGTACACTTGTGGGATGTTATTTTAAGGAATCTTTCTGTTGTAATCTTTTTTATTTTAAGGAATCTTTCTGTTGTAATCTTTAAGCTGGAAGAAATAGCTATCTCTGAAAGCTTTTGGGGTCCCTTAGACATGAGCAGGCAAACCGCCTGGACTTTCTGCGAGCTGTGTGAAATCAGGACAAATTTCTCAGACCAGTGGCCTCCACTACTCAGCTCTTGTGCTATCCACAGCTAGCACACAGCAGTTCCACAACTTTGGAAATCATGCACACTTTCCCGATACTTGTGTATTATCTGTACTCATCCATATACCTTTTTCTTTCTAGTTTATACTGAAGTGTTTCTGGTGGAATACTTGCTTAGCAGGTATGATGATCTAGGTTCAATCCTTGGCACCAGCTTAGAGTATATATTTAATGCACTATTTTTAAACAAAACTGTTTGATTATTAGTGGAAATAGCTAACTGGCCAATATAAAGGAAACAAAAACTTGTCGAAAATTCTGCTTAGATACTGTGAAGGGTTCTGTGCTAGGGGCCTATTCCCTATGCAGTAACAGAGAACGATGCAAGGGAATAAAAGTGAGTGTCCTTTATTTGCATTTACTGTCACAAGTACTTTACATATAGCATCTTATTTAATAATCTTAGTGTCTATATGATATAAACAGTTCCTTTTTCTTTTTATACAAGAAAACTAAGGTGCATCATGACAGATGGCGGAAGCAGAAATGAGAGGCAGCCTGGAGGCCAACCTCTTAACAGTCCCATTCATGTACACATATGAAGAGAGAAGGGACTACAATCAAACCCACTCAGGTTATCGCTGAATCCGCCACACTTTAGAAACACAGCCCTTGGGGGTATGTGACCGTTAATTTTGTCCACTTGATCAGATTCAGAACCAACTAAGAGACACACCTCTGGTCAGGTCTCTGAGGCCATTTTCAGGAGGGATTACCGAAGGAAGCCCCTTCCCCCTCCCCGCACACTGTGGGCACCTTCCAGCAGCAGCATTGATGCGGAGAAGTTCCAACAAAAAGCTACACTGCTTACTTGCCTGTCATGGCTTCGTCCTCATGAGTATGTTTATCCCTCACTGACACCATAATCTGGATTCTTCTGCCTTCTAAGTGTGAACCAGAGACCAGTAATTTCCCAGGAAACCAGCCTTCAGCACCAGAGAGGGGCTGTGAACACACCCAGCTTTGTAGACTAGTCCCGGGTCAGGTTTCCTGACCCTCCAGTGTGCAGACAGACATTTGGACTACCTAGACCCTGTTGTGTAAGTCAGTATGATAACCCCCCTTTCTAACTCTTATTCATTCTATTAATTTCATTCCTCCAGAGATGGTTGAGGGACACAGACCATGACCACACAGCATTTTAGAAGGCTTCCTTCCACACTCAAAAAACGTGCACGTTCTGGCCTATAAAGACTGATGTTTTGTAACTGTGTCTAGAAGGTTCTCAGAGGCCAGCAGCAAAGACAGATTTGCTTAAACACAACATTTCTTAAAGTGTCTAGACCTTGAAGCCCATTGTGGAGCACGGAGGAAATCAGAGGTTCCAAAGACCAGTTCTGGCACACACACTCAGGTTCTGCAGGGATCTAGCAAGCCTCAGCATGGCAAACATGACTCTAGCCTTCTCCCCCATTGCCTCTGCCTGGATCACATTCCTAAAGCAGTCACCAAGGCTGATCACCAAGGTCCAGCTATCAAAGTATTGAAGTCCAGCAATCAAAAGTCCCCTTTGGCTACCCTAACCAATCTGTCCGATCAAAGTTAAACACCTCATCCTAACACCGGTTTCCCTTCATAAACTGCCGATAGCCTGTGGGCCACCTCTGTGTCCTCTCTTTCTAGAAGCAGTCCTTTGTCCCTCAGGGGGCAAACACTCCTCCCCCTCTCTCCTGTTCCTTCTCCCTTGTCCTCTGTCTCCTGTCTTTGTTCCTTATTCCTTGCCATTTATCCCTCTGGGGCAAATACATCTTTGTGCTGAGAACTTGGTCTTGGGGTGTTGTCTGCCGATTCAAGGCTTTTCAGGTTTTAGTATGATCTCCACTTCACTAAAAAGTATTGCTTGTAAAGAAAAACAAAAGACTTTTCTTTCCTGAAAGAGTCTACAAATAGTTACATGGGGTCCTATTACCAGGTGCAGTTTCTCATAATGTCTAGCCCAGGTAACTTCTTTTATCTTCTAAAACCCCTTTAAACCCCCTCCTCCACTTCCACCCCAGACACGCACACACACACACACACACACACACACACACACACACACACACACACACAGCCCCTTTCCACACAGCACAATAGCAGGTCCCCTCATTGCCTACCACACTGGGTGACATAAGCAGTCATGGCATAGGTACCCTTGGCACTGGGATTCAGCAGGCATTGTCTCCTTGTATTTGGTATGTAGGATGCTTTGGAGTTCTATAAAGTTGGTACCTACTTCAGAAAGCTCTCACTGAGATAGGGGAAACAGCCCTCAGAGGGACCAATAACTGTGAGGACTAATGCATGTCTGTCACCACTGACACCTACTTTGCTGTGTGGCCTGCTGAGCAAGCTGAAGAGAACTCAGAAGTGTCTTGATAACATCCAAGGGTAAATTGTTGACATATGTTCAAACTCTGCTCTCTGGAGCTGAAGCAGGCAGGCAGCAGCAGGGATGGGTGATGGGTGTCAGAACTTATCTGGGCTCAGCAGTCAGGGCGAGCTATTCAGGGCGAGCCATTCTGCCTGACGCTTACCTGTTGCTCCATCTCAGGTGGTTTCAAATGCTTCACTATAGAGGTATATTTGAACCAGGGTACAATAGCTTCACCTTCCTTTTCGGAACTTTTTCAGCATTTTCATCTGAGCTGGTCCTGTTTCTATGTCCCAGGTCCTCTGTGCATGGGGCTTGTGGCCTGTCTAATATTCATGCATTTTCCCACCCCTTCTTAATCTACTTTAAAACAAACAAGCAAACAAACAGGGGAACCAATGCTTCTGGACTGACCCTAAGGGAGCTGTAATGTCAGCCTTCCAGAGTGTTCCTAAACAGTAGTTTCAAGCTATGGTTCCTGTGATGAGCCTTATAAGGGAAGAACAGGGGATGGGAACCTTCAAATCAATCACAAGCCAATAAACTAAAATTTAGAAGCATAATGGGTCATGATGGCAAAAAAGAAACTCACTTAATGGACAGATGGTTTTGGGCTTGAGATGTGGTTGAGCAGTAGAGTGTTTTCCTGGTATGTGCTATGCTCTGGGTTCAGGTCCCGGTCCCCAAAGACAGCACCAGTGCTCCAGGATCAGATTCTTAAGAAAGACTTGGGCAAGGGAGACGGCTCAGTGGGTGAAGGCACCCAGTACCAATCCTGCCCATCTGAGTTTGGTCCCTGGGCCCTAGATGGTAGATGGAGTGAATATCTCCCAAGTTTCCCTTTGATTTCTACATGTGTGCTGTGGCACACATATGCCCACATACATGCCAAAATAAGTAAAGTACATGGAATGAAAACAAAATTAAAACAGTGGCTCTTTTTGCCCCCTTTGGGGATCTAAGCCCCAAACAGATGAAAACAGTTAACCCTGCTTCCCATAGCTCACATTTGAGCTAGAAATAGAAAACTGTTACTCCTTTTAACTAATAACATTGAAAACAAAAACCAACCCAACCTAGAAATAATTAAACTCTGGAGGTGCCAAGTGGTTTAAACATTTCATTGTATTTTTATTGATTTTTTTTTAAATTTTTGCCCTGTTAGGACAATGAACCGGGAAACCACAACTACAATTCACAGACCGCAGCATGAAAAACACACACTCCATTGGAATCGCATCAAGCCCTTCCTCGTTATTCATTCAAAAGAGTCCAGTGCACGTGTCAAATGTGAGCACTGTCTTTTTTTTTTCCTTAGAAGGGGGAAAACATTTATTCTGGCAGCACTTTTACAATCCCAGGAAGTGGTTGGGATAACCACTATAGTTGTAGGAATAGGAACCATAACAAACTTGGAGAGCATTTGACAGGCAAGGGGTTCCTTGGGTAGAACGATACCTCTTGTGCTTAGTGGACGACCCCTCAGCGGCTAGTTTCTGAGTCTTCCCAGGTGTTGAAAGGAGGAAACAGAATTGCCTGTGTCGATGCTGAAATTCCTCTTGATCGGAGTGGCTTCTGTGTCTCCAACCCTCCCCTGACACTGAGGCAAGTTCTCAGGCTTTGCTGGAGCTTCTTCAGGCACATGACCCTCTGACCAAGTCGACCCTGGCGGTAACACATGTGACAACCAAGGCTCCCTCAACTACACTGCTTCTCTAGGGTTCAGATGATAACACAAACATCACTTGTCAAAAAGTAGCAGATATTCGGAATATGGGCTTTTGTGTTTATGAAAATAGCAACCATTTGCAGGGTATACTCCCCCAAGGAGCCTTATTTTTATTTAATATGACCCTCTGGGGAGTAAGCCCAAAGTCATGTATGATAGTATAAGACTGGTCAGTCTCTGGACTTGACAGTTTCAGAGCTGACTGGTGCCAACTTAAAAAAACAAAACAAAACTATTGCCCAAATAATTCAGTGGTCCGTAAAGCAACAAAACATTAACCCTTCAGTTTACACTTACGCGCGCGCGTGCACACACACACACACACACACACACACACACACACACATTGAGAACTGTGACAAAAAAGATCAACCAAATTCTGATCCATCCTGTTCTAAAAGGAAAAAGGAAATCTCAAACTGGATTTGTCATAGTCAAGTATTCAAAACACAAAAAGAGAGGATTGCCACTCAATTTTGATTTCCAAGAAACCGCCTTTGTGGGACGGGTTGGGGGGGGCAGGAAAGTCAACGGAACAGATTCTACACAAATTGATTGGTAATTTCCCATGATGCAAACACCTGCTTGCATTTCTCCTAAAGATTTGTGGTGACTGCGAGTGCTTGGCATTCCAAGAGTCAATACTTCACAAACAAGCTTTAGAGTAGGGCCAGCTGACTCACTTTTCTTGTGGGGAACAGTTAGTTTTACACGCTTCCTGTCAACACTTGAGGAGGCCGGGGTAAACAGACCCCCTCAGGATCTGCAGAGAATGTGTCACTACTGCAGCTTATGCTGTTTGTGGGGATTGTTTTTAAGTGTTTACCTCCCAGAGATTTCAAAACAAGGGACTTACTAGCTCTTGGTAGCAGATGTCCTCCAAGTGGTTCTGAATGAAAAAGAGCCCATGAGGGATGGAGTTCTGTGAAAGTATGGTCCTACCTGACCGTTCACAGGCCCATGTGGAAGTTCACACAGGGTTCTGCTAAATCACCACACTGCTCCAGGGGGAAAGGGCACAGAACAGTAGAATTGCTGCATGACTGAGAATTGACCTCAGATTATCTTAAATTGTTCCAAGATTCTGGCTTTCACAGATTCCTCACTCCGTTTGGCCCCTAGGAATGCCTCCCTCTGCCCCTAGCAGTGGTGATGTGTAGGGAGAGAAGAGATTCATTCTAACCCCTTGCCCAGTGACTAACAGGCAGGGGGGTGTGATGGAAAGATGGGCTGAATGTTCTTGGTGATTATTAGAGCTCTAAGAACTGAATCCACCCATGGACTAACAGGAAGAGGTTAGCTTTCCTTTGCCTTTTCAGTTGAGAAGACGGGCTAAAGGGTGACGAACAAAAAGTCTGACACTAAAAGAAGACACCAGCCCCATCTTGGCACAGTTCTCATGCAGAATATTGCACCCAGTGTTAACTAATGCTAGAAGCGTCCAACTGTATAAATTTAAATGTATTTGCATATTATAAAAATAAAGATTAACATATACATATTTTACACTAGTGACGGAACAGCGATGAACGTCGGTCGATCCCTCCTTCACATTGAACAGAACTGAAATCTGAGTGCTCGTAACACTGCCACCCGGACTGGAACTATGGCTTATGTGTACATGGAAAACAAAATCCCTGAGAAGCCATTCAACATTTTTTTTCTTTTCTTCAAGTAGCTCTCTCCCTGGAGGATCACAGTTCTGAGGTTCAGGTTGTGAAACATTTGCTCCATGTTGGCTCCCATCTTCCCAGCCCCTCCCTCCCCTCCAAAGGTCCTCTGCAGGCACCTGGTGCGGTGGTTTCACCCTGGGCCCCAAAGGCGCTTGGGAGCACAGCAGGCTCGCCAGGGGCAAGAGATGTCCCAGTCAGTTCCCATGCTCTGTTTACTCCATGGAAATTCCACAGCCACGAATGTCACTGGTTTCTGTGCTTTTCACCAACGTTCTTCCTACATGGATGAGAAGGCAAAAAGACAGAAAAGAGCAGTCTCAATTAGAAGGAGAGGTCGTGATAACAAAAATGAGTTTGCACAGATTTCCAGTCTCCTTCTAGAATTCTCTGTGATCATGGAGACGTCAGGCTCCTGATGACTCACCAAGCAAGCAGTCCCTTTAGCAGGAAGATTAGTCAAATGTTGTTTGTGATGCTAAGCACAGGTCAGGCATAAAGGGGGGCCCAACACTAATGGCTATGCCCACTTACCTGGCTGGAACATTATAGATGAACTAGCTTCGTAATGAACAAACACGGACTCTAAACACAGCCTTGCTTCCTCAGTAAACACACATGGACACATAAATACCCTGCCCCAGGCCAAGAAATGCTTGCCTCAACCTGAGTGTAGCTGTCTACCGCTGCTGAGCATGCTTTTACTTCGAGTGCTACAAGCAAGGGTGTCAGCTGAAGTCCAGGGTGTTTGAGTGTGGAACGGAAACATGGCTGCATTCTCAGTCAACTGAGCAGTGGCATTTGATCGAAACAACAGAGGGGGAAGGCCAGATAGCTACAGCTTTTATTCTGGCTTTCTACCATGCTACGCCACGGATGTTCTAAGGGTTTTAATGACACCCACTGATATACAAAGAAAGCAAAGGGGGTATGGTCTGTTTGCCCCTCCATCTCTCTCCATGCTGCTTTATTTCACAGAGGCTGGTAACTCAATATCCATCTACCATGCCCTTCCAGCCCATACAAGAAGCTTAATCAATCTTCATATCAATAGCCTTTGCTTTATGACTCACATACCAATGAAGCACTTTCTCTTGTAGTACAGCGCTGCTCAGTTTCTCCATATTTTACCAATCCCACCAGGTCCTGGGATGAGATGCCCAAGGGTGAGGATATAGCTAAGCTTTGTTACAAGACAAGCAAGGCTCCAACGTGTGCTTGGTGGGTATAAGAGAGGTTCACATTTCTTTGGCACTTAGTCATAAGAAAATGTTTGAAAACCTAGTAATATAATAAACTCCTGGCAGGGAAGGTTTTAAAACGGTCTCAAATTCCAGTAAGAATATGATACATCTAACTGGAAGGGAATGGCCACGTAAAAACACATGTCTCGCTCAGGCAGTTAACGGAGCGGTATGGTTGCCAGCTCTCGGTTCACGGGGCAGCAACTATTTTCCCTCAGTGACTGTAATGAACTTCCAGAAAGGCAGACAGTCTGCTGTCTGCTCCCCTGAGCCACATGTAAGGCTGCGAATCACAGGGTCACCTAACCAAGGCTGCTGCAGGGAACATTCCACTTGTAACATTTCCCACATTGTGATGGTTCCTGTTAACTGTCAACTTGGCAGAATCTAGAATCACCAGAGGGAAGGGCCTGGAGGAGATTATCTTGATTACATTAACTGAGGGGGGACCCACCCACTGTGGGTGGAACCACTCCCTGGCTGGGATTCTGGTCAGTTTAAGTAGAGAACTGAATAGCACTTACTGCTTCCTTCCTTCCTTCCTTCCTTCCTTCCTTCCTTCCTTCCTTCCCTCCCTCCCTCCCTCCCTCCCTCCCTCCCTCCTTCCTTCCTTCCTTTCCTTTGGGGGGGGGGTTGGTTTTTTGAGACAGGGTTTCTCTGTGTAGCTCCGGCTATCCTGGAACTTGCTCTATAGACCAGGCTGGCCAAGGCTGCCTCTGCCTCCCGAGTGCTGGGATTAAAAGTGTGTGCCACCCCCGCCCCGCCAAGCTTTCTGTTTCTTGACTGTGGACTCTGCTGACCATCTGCTTTGAGATCTTGCTACATTCATGTCCCCTTTAGGACGAACTGTCTCTTGAACCATGAGCCACAGTTTAAACCCTTTGTCCCCTAAGCTGCTTTGGTCAGGGCACTGTATCATGACAAAGGGACTGGGACACAGCAGTCACACTTTCCATCCAGCAAATCTCCAACCTTCTCTATCTCACCGCTTTTCCATCTCAATTAGTCACCTTCAAGGTCTGACTGTGAGGAGTCTTGTGAGCCATGCCAGGGATTTTGAACTTGAGCCAGAAATGATCAGGAAGTTATTTAGGACTTTTGAAAAGGGAGATATGTGGCAGGCATTGACATTAAAAGATAAATATTGGAGAAGGGGCTGGAAAGAGCTATCTCAGTAATTGAAAGCCTTAGCTGCTCTTCCAGAAGACCCTGGTGGCTCACAGCTGTCTGTAACTCCAGTTCTAGGGAATCCAATATCTTCTTTTGGCCTGTGAGGGAACCAGACACACATGCAGTATACAGACATACATGCAGGTATAACACACATATGCATAAAAGAAATTAATCTTCTTAAAAAATATTAGTGTAAAGGACATGAAGACTGGATAGTTTGAGTCCCAATGATAGGAATCTTGGTGAATAGATGGTAGCCATTGAAGTTGACAGTTTTCTAGCTTGGACAGACAGGCACAAAACCCCATCATCGCCTGGGACAGAAATGGAGAAATGGAGCATTCTGAGAGAAGAAGGGAGTGGATTCAGTCCTCTGCAATCAAGCCCACAGGCTGCCAGATAGGATACCGGATCAGGAGGTGAGGAGTTGAGAAGGCTCTACTAGGACTTGTATCTAGACTCTTCCCAGGTTAGAACACCTGCCGCAACTCCGGATGCAAAAAGAAATGACAGCTCAAAATATTTAGCTGTCTAGGCTGAAAGTGAAGTCATAGTATGTATCAATTGTTATCTTTCACTTTCTGTGTTTTGAGATATGTGTAGAGGGCATTGATCCCAGTGTGACTGGTGCCCCTGGAGGAATCTATTTCCTAGAGACCATGATGAACTTGCCTGCTGGTACTGTCTTCCACACCCAAACTAGCCAGGTCACAACTCAGATCCCACCCACTTCCTTTATTGGCTTTCACACCCTGGCTCACTGCCCTGCCCTAATCCATCCGGAGTCTGATAACAGATAACCAGCAACAGCTTCTGAATCCACACAAGCCGATCCTAAACTTACATGCCAGCCTTGCCTTGGCCATCCAGGCTGTTGCCCATAGTTCCCCCTGCCTCTGTCCCACAAGCAAGCCTGGGCTCCCCTGTGTGGCTTGCCCTTTCTCCGCAGTGTCAGCCATCTGCTGGTCTGTTGGACTTATTATTCTTCAGAGTGGGAACACACAGCGTTTTAAAATGGGAGCACCTGTGAGAAGACCACAGAAGTCTTGGATGGGGAGGCAAATGGCAGACCTGGGCACTCAGTAGCTGGGGTTGGAGGGGAAACACTGTTGGGTAGGACACAGGTCTCTGTGAAGTCAGTGTGTCAGGGACCTTTACTCCAAAGGATTTTGTCCAGGTGTTATAGGTGTTAGTGACTACAATATGAAGGACAGCACAGGACACCAACACCTCCTTTTTATGAGAATAGGTGTAGGCACTGAGGACACTCAATAAATAAATTTTCATTTATTGCCCCTTGGCAATGGGGAAGGGAAGGCCCTGTTCTCATTTAGATATCCAGCATACACATTACCCTTCTACAGGCAGACCCTTTAATTAATAAGGGTCTAGATAAGCCAGTGGGTAAATTTTACCATAGTACCCTATCCACATGGTAGAAACATTTTGTTTATAGTTTTTAGTGTCTAGGCTGTCCAGTGTATGCCACATATACTCCTAGTAGAAACAATAGTAGGTATATTTATTGAGCATATATTTGCTCTATGTAATCATATTAAATGCTGTATTTGAAATTGCCTGTCTCATGAGATAACCTCATGAAATAAGTACCTCCATAATATGCATTTTACAGATGTCTAACATCACAGTACTAACAAACAGCAGATACTCAGGCTGGGTGGTCCATGCTGGTAATCCAAGTACTCAGGAGACATAGGCAGGAAGATGGCAAATCATAGACTAGTCTGGACTATACAGCAAGACTGTCTAAAAGTAACTGAACTGCACTACTGGAATCTAGTGACAGAGATGGAGGAGTGATGAGCAAAGGGGTCAAGACCATGCTGGTGAAACCCACAAAGACAGCTGACCGGATAAGGGGGAGCTCTTGAATCCCAGACTGATGGCTGAGAAGCCAACAGGGGACTGATCCAGACTACATGAATGTAGTGCCAGTGAGGAGGCCACAGAAATCACTAGGGCCTTGGGTAGTAGATCAGTGTTTACCATGGTTTATGAATGATCTTTGGGAGCCCATTCCAAATAGAGGGATGTTCTCTCGGCCTGGACACATGGGGGAGGGCCTAGGTCCTGCCCTGAATGAAATGACAGACTTTGGAGATCCCCCAAGGAGGGCCTCACCCTCCCTGGGGAATGATGTGGGGATTGGGTGGGGGGTTGGGGGGCTGATGGAGGGACAAGGGAGGAGGGGTGGGAGAGGGAGCAGGGATTGACATGCAAAGCATTCATGTTTCTAATTTAAATGTAAAAAATTTAAAAAAAGAAAGAAAGAAAGGAGGGAGGGGAAGGGAGGAGGGGGAGGGGAGAGGGAGGGGGGAAGGGGAGAGAGATGGGGGAGGTTCAAACTAGTGCAGTGAAACCCCAGAGTTCAAACAACCTTGAGAAAATAAACATTGTTTTTACAAAGTTACATGAGGTGTTAACCAACTTGCCCTCTTCCTGGTGTTATAGTCTGTACACTATGGTAACTTAAAAAACACACACACATTTTTTTCCAACATGGATCTACGATTACTGACTCATCATACTGTCACAAGTTAAGTGAAGGATCAAGCATTTTGCTATTTCTCCATCCCAAGCATCAATGACTCTACACAAGTAAAGTGTAAAGTGTGTTGGATGCTCTGCCCTGTGGATTCTCTTCACTCCCAACCCAGCCCATCTCCTCTTGAAGTTCTCCAGGTTCTTGGGGCCCGTACCCGTTCAGGGGACTCTGTGATTCCCAGAGACTTACCCTTAAAGCTTGGTGCTCCTAAAGTCACAGATTGGGTACAGTAAAAATGGTAGCAGAGGGAAAGAAGCACTATCCTTTCCACTTAATTGTCCAAGAAAGTATGAAGATACCTAAGCAGAGAGGGGAGAATTCCAGGATCAATGTGGCTGGATGATGGGAGACTCCATGATTCAAGAAACACAATTCCTCCCAGCCAGAAAAGGCAGCCAGGCAATGGACTAGTCCCTCTTAGCCAAAGACAATATAAATAAATCAAGTCGATGGGGTTACCTCCAGACAGGCAACCTCCACACTTAACTGTAAATACCAGACCCCCAGGTCTGTTTTAAAACTTTGTGGTCAATGAATATGGTCTACTGTGATCAAGCCAAATACAGATCATTCCATTTCTCCTTGAAATATGTTTTCAAATCCTTATTAACTAATCTGGGGAGACTTTGGATTTTTTGTCTAATTATTTGGTGAGATAAAGGCCACAGTCTTTACCCTAATTATATATACAAAAGGGTATTTCAGTGTGTCTTAAATATGCTTCTGTCATAACAACGTCACTGCAGAATTTCCTGAGTGAGACAATCATTGTGCTTTTTAGAACAGTTAGAGTAGCAAGAAACTGGTATCTGGTGGGGCTCTTGCTGGAATGTGAACCCTGCTGTGCATAGGCAACCATCGAGGTTCTTCAAAACAACAACAAGAGAGTTTGAAAATGTGCATCTCACCTCTGTCCTCTATTAATGCAGTCTGAAGTACAAATGCTTAGCTCAACATCTTTAAGCCAGAAAGAACATTTTTTGTTAATTCTATTAACATGCCATCTACCAAAATCCACTAATGTCTCTCTTTTTTTAACATTTATTCATTATGTATGCAGTGTTCTGCCAGCATGCATGCCTGCCCATCAGAAGAGGGCACCAGATCTCATTACAGATGGTTGTGAGCCACCATTGGTTGCTGGGAATGGAACTCAGCACCTCTCAAAGGGCAGCCAGTGCTCTTAACCTCTGAGCCACCTGCCAGTCCCCCAGAACTAACTTCTTTGTTCTCTATGAACTTCCACCTCTTCTCAGCTGATGGAGCACACAGACAAGACAGCACCACAGGAGAAAGGTCAACTATTAAGAAATACAAATTAGACATTTACATCCTGCATGTGCCAGGGTCCGCCCACTAAGGGAACCACGCGGAAGAACACGGGTAGTGTGCCAGCATGCTGGGAGGTAAAGTGCTTTGGCTTTGTGTTTGTTTGTGGGCTAGCCTGCTCAATTCCTTCTGGTCATCACAGGGAAATCAGTAGCCAAGTTGGGGTTAGCAGTCAGTTTATAACAGAGTTCATGCTGTGTAGTTAGTGGAGGAGGGACACTGGGCAGAATTTCTTTGGAAAGAAAAAGAAAACAATTTTCAGGTTCAGGACACCTGAAAGTGAAGTGTGGGCAGCCATCTGCCATTTGCCCCGAAGCTCACCCACACACGTGCAGGCAGACCAGAACATTAAGAGTTTCAACCTGCAGAGAGACTGCACAGAGCTAGGGATTCACAAAACAAAAATGTAACAGATTCTAGAATGTTGACCAGCTTGATCTTGTGTAGGCAACTTCAGCAATTGTGAGTTCTTGAGTGCAGAGACCCTCTCTTGTCCAGAAGGTAACAATAGAAGGCAGAGCTAAGATAAGCATCTCAAACCTAACTCACCCCCCCCCCCGTGTTTTTGCTCTGGTTCTCCCCAATCTCTGGCGCTCTTACAATTACTCTGACCCCTTTCCACAATGGTCCCTAAGCATCTAAGCACCATGGGGAGGAGTGTGATAGATGAGTCCCACTTGTAGCAGATCACTCAGCAGACGTTTACCCTCTGAATCTTGACCAGATGTGAGTTTCTGCATTAACTGTCATCTACCACATTGAGATACTTCTCTGAGGAGGTCTGAGGGCTACAACAATCTATAGGTATAGAGGTATGAATTTATGAATTTAAAGTGTAGCTTCCTACTATGTCTATTTACAAAACAGCAGTCGTAGGCTTAGGGCCAGTGAGCTCCCCAGCCATGGGTTCTTGGCCAGACTTATAATACCAGATTAGGGTTTCATCCTGTGGAGTCGGCCTTAAATCTAATCAGAAAAGAGTTGGTTGTCCCCTACATAGTTGTGCCGCTGATGCACCCAAGAACCTATTCTGTCATGCTGGTAGCTAATTGTAGTTCACAGAGTTTATTGGTGGGTAGGACTGTTGATGACTCCCTCCTACACAGAACCTTCTGGTACCATGAAAGCTGGCCAGCAGGAAGAAGCTTCCTGATTAGTACCAACTTGAGTTTTTCACATCCTGTGATCCAAATATATGCTATTTTCACCATTGGGTGATAACATCAAGTTCAGGTAAGTAGCCAAGAGCAAATGGCAATAGCCTGCATTGTTTTAGGGCATCATCAAGACACTTCAACCAACAACTCAAGGGGAGGTTATCCTTCATCTGGCACTACGCTTTTTCTTTGGTATCCTACAGCTTCTGGGAAGAACATTATCCCCTGTGTCGGGTAACTCCCATTAAATTCATTCTTCCACCCTTAGCTGAGGACCTGTTGACAGCTGACAGCTTCTGCAAGAAGAGTCAGTTTTCTTTAAGGGTGTGGTCCTAGCAAATGGCCTCCACACCTATGATTATATGAACAACATGAAGTAGATTTAGTAGATTATTTAAAGCAAACAACAGGGCATGAAGTGGGGAGGAGTTGGGGAATGGATCTGAGCATCAAACATCTAGGGGGAGGAAAGAGGGATAATCAAGATATATGTCCATATGAAATTATCAAAAGGTAATAAAGGTATTGTTTAGGTGTAAAAAAAGAATCCACCTTCTATTTTCTCTCTACTCTTCTCAGCGAGAGTCCAGTCAGCCTCCTCCCACCCATCTCCATCTTGAGACTCTGCATCCTCAGGTTTAACCAACTGCAGATTGGAAACACCAGTGCGTGGAACCATGCATCTGTCCTGGCCATACACTTTCTCTTATCATGACAAGTGTCAAGGTAATCTAGAGATGATTTAAAGTATGCAGAAGGGTATGCAGAAAGTGCATACAAATTTTATTTAATTAACAAGCTAATTTATTTTCCAAGAAAGGGTCTCGGTATGTAGCTCAGGATGCTCTGGAACTCAACAGGATTACAGGCAAGTACCACAGGCTCAGCTCATGCCATTTTATACAAGGACTTGAGTATCTTCTGATTCTGGTGTCCAAGAGAAGTGGGGCTTTGTTACAATCCCCAAGGGGGTTGCACATCCCTCACATAGATGGGGTGGCATGCTTGGATGCTGAACTGTCAAGAGGCTACAACTAGGAAGTTCTGAAGAAAGCTCCTCACCTCCCTCCAAGCCACTCTACCTCTCCTTCATCACCCAGGAAACAAGGGGCTGCAGGTGACACATGGTGCAAGTCACTTACTTCATTCCAGTTGGGATGAACCGTGCCAGTAACAGAGGAATTAGGAGAACTTATTTCAAACTTAAGAATTTGCTTAACACCAACACATCAGTCCCCAAAAACATTCTGGAAAACGACACTAAAAACACTGGCTGCACAAATGAGGTGCCACATTAGCTTAGACACAGTAATGACAATTAGCACTAGATTTCTCCTTAGGGTGATGGGGATGCTTAAGAATAAGATAGTGGTGAGGAGTGGAGAAGTCACGCCACTTAACGGAGATTCATCAAACACTGTGTGAATTAGACATCAATGGGGTTTTAGAACCATCGAGGAAGGTTTTTGTTGTTGCTTATTTGTTTTGTTTTTGAGCAACCCTGCTGTTAGATGCATGGGCATCCCAAGATGTGACCACAATCATGACCCCATGACTGTAAAGGGATCCTTTGCAATCATACTTCCAAAGGGCAGAAATAGCTCACAGTTGACGAGGTTAGCAAAGTGCACAAGATGCCTCTAGGTACCTGTTTCCCCTCTGGAGCAAGAAGGGCAGGAGGAGAAACAGCGTTTCATCCACTCCTGAAACCTCTTCTCAATGGAATGCTGGGAAGGGCCTCAACCACCTACCACCTAGACAACTCACAGCTGTAAGTCCTATGGAGAATGAGCCCTCAGTGAAGACCTACTACAAACCCCCAACCCCAAAATCTATTTATTCCTTACTATCCACCTCTCTTTCATAGGTGAAAATACTGGAAAATTCTTGATTTTTAAATTTTTAATTAGTGTATATGTGGTGTGTGTGTGTGTGTGTGTGCGTGCGTGCGTGTGTGCGCGCGCGTGTGCGATGAGTACAGGTGCAAAGGCCAGAGGAGTCCCGAGAGCTGGAGTTATAGCTGTTGTGAGCCATCCCATATGGGTACTGGGAATCAATCCTGGATCCTACCCAAGAGCAGTTGGCACTCTTAATGTAATGACACTCAGATGCAGAGTCGTGGAAACATTTTCAGTGAGAAACAGCAAAGTTTGGGATTTATAAGGAAGTACTAAATAACCACCATTGATTCCTTTTTGTTTATGAACTCTACTGTATCACTATTTCACATATGGCTAGGGCAGTACATTAAATGTCAAGTCTCTGATACCCAAGGAAAGAGGAAACGGGGCAAATAATGGCTTGGAGAGAGTTCTTCAAAGCATTAAAAGATTGAAATCAAGGACAGAGAGCAGGGGTTGATTCTGGTATCTGGAACTGTTCTGGTTAGCACCTGTTGTCCCAACATAATAATGAACATATGTCCTGGGACTCTTTGTCCTTTCTTGACATGAACACTGAGAAGAGTCTCATTCTAGCCAAGAATGGAGGGACAGGAGTGGCTGACAACACCATGCATGTACCATGTTCTGCTTTGGGGCTGACTTTACAAAGGTCCACAAGGAAAACGAAGGACACCTGGCTGAGAGGCCATCATTAGTGGGGTAGCTGAATCACGGAGTTAAAAGTCCAACAAGCATACCTTAGAAACGACCCAGTGACTTCAGGGTCTTCAAAGATGCACACCTAGCTACTTTCCTGGGCATTCGACACGTGTGCCTGCTGAGGAAAAGTCCAGCCTTGCCCATCTGCCTACATTTTATGAGCTGCTCTAGAGGGAGATACCACTTTGTTGTGAGTTACTTAAGTTAGCTGCCTGGGGCTGCAAGGGCAGTGCTCAGTCTTGGACTGCTGGCCATGCTGGAATACCAAGCCTCAGCCTGGGCCAAAGCCATGTGACTCAGTGGCTACCCCTTTGACTGCTATCAGTGGTGTTGGACACACTGTCAATCATGCTTCAGAACTTCCAGTGGGCTTGGCCTCGCCTGCATGTCTGCTTTTGTTTAGGGCTCATGGCTGTGGGTTGTGGATGCTGGTCCTGGTCTCCATACTTAAAAAAAAAAAATAGTCTTGCCAAAGATGCAAAGCTTTCATAGTTAGGGAACAGTCCTTCATCTAGAGCTGAGAACTGCCAAGACACTAATATTTGCTACATCAACAGAGGTTCAGTCCCCAGGGGTACTTCTCTCTAGCAACTAGTGAGGTCTAAGTCAATGGCCATTCTGATGATAACCAAATTGAAAGCTGGTTGTTCATTTAGATTCAATAAACTGTCAAGGAGAGGCTGACAACATGTTTTTTACCCCCAGACTGGTAAATGGGGTCTTTCTGTGGTAGAACACAGAGCCACCCATGGGCCTGGCTTGATAACTCTGGCTCTGTGCCACCAGGGCGTCTGGCACAAGCCGATATTTAACTTCTGTATCTATGTTGTCCATTAAATAGCATGGATCCATGCGAAAACTAGAGAGTAGTGTCTCTGGTGGCTCAGGGACATTTACATCACTACAAAGTATATTGTGTCCTGCACCCCGCTGCTTCTATAACACTCTTCATCCCTGCCCTGGTGTATCTGAAAGGCAAGGAGCAGTAGGCACAGGCTCAAAGAAACTGCAGGGCTGACAAATGCCTGGGTTATGATATGTTCAGGGCGGGGAAGATGCGAGCAAATGAGGCATCCTTTGTGTGATTGCACTATGGTACTGGAGAAGAACCTCAAAGTCTCAGTTTCCTAGGGTCACGCTAGGGGTGCTGATTCTGGGTGCATTCCAGATAATATAGCTCCCTGAACCTAGTGTTAGAGAGGTATTTCCCATGGGTGCTTGGGGCTAGTTTCCAGCACAGCTACACTGCATAGGCTTGGCCCGTTTGCAGGAAATGGGGCTTTGCCTTCTACTGCTGATGTACTGCAACACCATGGAGACCTGGCTGTACAGGAAGCACGAGACAGGAGGAGAGCTGCTCTTGCCTGGGTGACACTCCTCCCACAGAGCCCCGGCATGTGACCAGACAGCAAGTTCCTGGTGAAGAAAGCCTGGTTTTGTCCTCCTACCTACTGGACTGGATGACAGAGAGGCCACAGTACTCAAGTGCAAACTTTGAATTGCCTTATAAACCTTTGTCCATTGTGTGTATGTGTAGGGAGGGGAGGCACACTATATGACCAACAAACCAGGATGCTGTGTGACTATGGCCAGGGGCCGGTAAGTGACTGGAGCTATCACCAAGACGACGCGCTTCAACCCAGGAAGGTCTGTGGTTGCTGATTTACCATCTTATAGTCATTTCGTCTCAGTTTAAAAGCAGCCCCTTTGGTTTCTAGTATGACTAAAACATGTAAATAAACCCCTCGAGCCAATAGGATGTGTCTTCTATAGACAATACAGCATATATTCTATGTGAATATTTGTACACGTGCATTCCCTGTCAGTCCATTTGGGGAGTAGGTTGTAGCCAGCCGACAGTCTTTGCTTTTCTGGGCTTGATTAGAGAATGAGATACCCCCTGCAAAATCACATCATTATAGATTTTCTGCAGGCTTTTCAGATTTAATGGCCCCTTGCTGTTCTTTGAAGTAAAACCCACTTAATTCTGCAATGACAGTTAAGAACTCCCTCTTGGGACAAGGATGAGGCTCAGGTGGACCCTAGAGGCTTTTCAACAAAGCTCTGTAGTAATGCTATTGGGGGGGGGTATATTTTTTTGGTTGTATATACCAGAAAACAGACTAAAAACCAATGAACTATATGTACATTTTAAATGAGTAGACTCTGGTTTATAAATTATACATCTGAGACACTTTCTAAAAAAATTGTTGACTTCATCAGCAAAGTCAAACATCACACAAAGGCAGGCAAAACAAGTTTCTATTTTGCTGCTTGAAGTGCCTCTGCCCTCAGGACTTTTTAAGGTTTTTTGTACACACGGTTGAACTATAGAGCCAGAATCTGCAACAAGGGACTGGTTGGACTTGGGAACTCACTTGGAACAGGGGCTGATCACAGTTGGTGTAGGTGGGTAAACCAAGGCCACATTCACTCGCTCGCTGCCGTTCTTGGGGCAGATGATCTCTGCTACCCCTTCTGGCCTGGGCTGACTCAGCAACTCCCCTGCAAAGAAGAGAGAGGAAAACCCATTAGGAAACAGGCCCCCCAAAAGAAAAATGGGACTCGTTCACACAGAAAACCGCAGCCCTTTCAAAAGGGGGAAGGGAGACAGATGCCAGTAGGAAGGAAATCAGTGACGGTCTGTAGACATGGAGACAGAGAACCAATGTGTAGCTAGCACGGCTGGCCTGCAGGGCTCTAGTTTCAGCGGCCTTGATGCTTAGCACATCACCATGGAGAGGGCTCTTATGTGATGACAGCAGTAGTGAGGTGTGCCCTCCAGCAAAGGAAGGCACCTGCCACGGTCGCCTTTCTTTTCATTCCGACACCTGAGATCTTCATGCCAGCCAGGCAGGGCCGCCAATGAGAGGCTCGTAATTGAGATTTGGGTATACGGGGCTTCGGCTGAGCTAGCAGGCTAGCAACAAAGCTCTGTGCAAATGATCTGGACATGCGGCAGGCTCAAGGTGTTAACAAGGTAAATAGCAGGACCACAGTCCAGCCTCCTTGAGCAAGGGGATTTCCTGAGTGCCGAGTCAAAAGCACACGGTATTATCACATGACTGACGGGGCCTATAGACACAGGTGATTAACTTAATGGATTAACTCAGTACCTAAAGGAAATCGGACACCGGGCACACCTGCACGTCATCTCTCTGCCTTGAGATCATCAGCTCTTCAGGAGGAGCAGCAACTTTCAGTCCTTAGCTTCTTCCTGGCAGGTCTCTCATCTGGGTGCCCTGTCCTTCCTCCTTCTGTCCCCAGGCCCAGCCCTTCAGGCTTCTCTGTTTAGAATACTCAGTCAGCAGTGCCTGGCTCCTGACAGCCCTTCTTTTTGCCTGATGGCCCTGCTAAGCCTAGAAGCAGATAACTCAAACCAAGGACGCAAAAGGCATGCCAAATAGGGGAAAGACCCTACTGAAATTCGTCGGTTTTAATGAGCATTTGAAGTTCTAGAGACCCCTAAGTATATGCTGACATATAATGACAGAAAGTTGTTTTTTTTTTTTTTTGCTTCAAATACTGTAGTTGGACAAGCAAGGAGGCTCTGCGTGTTATGTACTTGCAGCAAAAGCCTGATGACCCGAGTTCAATCCCCAGAACCCACATAAAGGTGGTAGCAAAGAAAAAACTCCTCAAAGTTGTCTTCTACCTTCACATACCCACCATGGCATGTGTAGTGCCGCATGCGCACACGCGCGCTTAAGATGCTGTTCTTTCTAAATAGCTCACCATCAGCTGAGCTTGCAATGATGGAGCATGTGCCCACACTGAATCAGAATTCTGGAGTGTATCGGTGTATCATGTCCCACTGAGAGCTCATCCTCATTTTACAAATGAAGAAGCTGCTGCCTCACTTAGGGTTTCTATTGTTGTAATAAACACCATGACCATAAACAGGTCCAGAGGAAAGGGTTAACTACAGCTTACAGCTTTCAGGTCACCCTCCATTGCTAAGGGAAGTCAGAGCAGGAACTCAAAACAGGGAAGAAACCAGGAGGCAGGAGATGATGCTGAGACCACGGAGGGATGCTGCTTACTGGCTTGCTCAGCCTACTTTTTATAGCCCTCAGGACCACCAGGTCAGAGGTAGCGCTGCCTGCAATGAACTGGGTCCTCCGTATTAGTCATTGATCAAGAAAATGTACCACAGGCTTGCCCAGAGGCCAATCTGGTGGGAGCATTTTCCTCAGTTGAAGTTTTTGTGAGACCAAAACAGGAAAAATATACAATGCAGGTTAAGGGTTCTGTTTGCACTAAAGACAGTTAAGTTCCTGTTTGTCCTGTTTGTCTGACCCATCTGCACTGGATGTGGTTGATCACATATGGACAGGAAGTAAGTGGGCAGGAAATATGTCAGGATGTATGCTTGCCCCTGATTGGATCTGATGGGAAATGCAATGAATTATGGGTTTTGTCTTTTTAAGCCCCTGCAAAACATAACTCAAGGTCATTTTCTGGGAACCCAGAGGTGGACCTGGCTAGAGCCCATCCACCTGGCCAGTATTTAATTAAAGCATGCTTCAATTTTGGCTCAAAATTGTAGAACTGGTTTTTCTCTCTTGACTCTCAGGATTAACAGTTCTCTTTTCCAGAATGATTATGGCTTGTGTCAAATTGACATAAAACTAGCCAGCACACAACTGCTCGTGGAAGTTATAAGATGTACCCAGCAGCAGGGGATCACTAGTGGCAGACATGGGGATAGGGGCTTGGAAACCCTTTGCTACCATCCTCCAGTACCTCCCCAAGGCAGGGGGTGCTTCCCCAACCAGTGTGCATCTTTTCTGGAGGAACTGCTTAATATCACTATTTTAAAATGAATTTAGGCACTGTCATATTTATACATTTAGAGGCACACTAATCCCCCAAATGGAACATTTTTTTTCCTGTGGCTTTGCACAATAAGAACTGGATCTAATTTGAGTCCATTCACCAAATTACTGCAAACATGAAAAGTATTGCAAACAACAATGCATTAACTGGTCTTGCAGACGCCTATGTGTCAGAACTGTGTGTCATCCAACACCAGCTAGGAAATGGTCAGAAACATAAAGATGCCAGCTACAAATGGAAACACTAAGTGGTGTCAAAGCAACACCATGGGCCCGAGCAAGAGCAAGCGAGAGCTCGCTCACACCTGGAAGCCATCCCGTCTAGCATCACTGGTTAAGCCAGATGTCTGCGTTTTAACAGAGTTGCTAAGAGCTGTGAGTCTGGGAGTCCAAGCAGCCCACAGTGAGTCACAGAACCACCAGGGCCCTGGGGACAGAGTACTTTCAGCTGGTCCTGGCCAGCCTCTCCTGGCTCCTCTTTGGTATTTTTTAATTAGAATCCTAAGAACACCCCGAAGTCTGAGCACAGCTTGGGCTTCTCTGTTTTCCCCCTTGGAAATTCTCCCTGATTGATTGCCATGGCGCACAGACCTCAGTTCCATCTGCTCTGAACTGCCTGTGTACCCAGATAACGACTGCAGATGCCAAGCCCTATTCCTTGCACGGGTCCCTGGCACCAGCCACACACAGCTGTTCTATTGCTGCAGACGCCATAGACTTTGGTGAGCCTGAGGCCGGCTTTTTACAAGACAGAGCTGGAAATAACCTGCAGATTTTTAAGCGTTGGTCACCAATGTCTATAAAACCAGCAGCCTTACTGTCCTCAGGTGGATGGTTTGGTTTAGGTCCATGCTATGGATGTGGTTTTATCCCTCAAGGGCCATATTTTGCAGGTTTGTCCTGCATGTTAAAATTCTGACAGGAGATGGAGACAAGAGGGAAATCCTTAGGTTAATCACCACCATGTCCTTAGAAAATGGTGGCGCTCCTTTCCTCGTCTCTGGCTTCTGATGTTTGGTGCAATCTGTCTTTTCACATATGCTTCTGCCTTGTCATCTGCCATAAGGCTACCAAAGAGAACCCCTTCCAGAGCCCGTGTCACAGTGCTTGAACTTTCTGCCTCCAAAAAAGAGCTACATAAACCCGTTTCACTATACAGTTAGCCTCAGGTATTCTGTCATAGGAAAGAAAACTGGACGAGTGCACATGAAACAAATCTGTCTTGGCAGGAATGCAAAGGATAGTCAGAAACGCATATGTTATGGAGGAAAACAAGGGATCGAAGCATCCTTAACTAGAACACAAGTTAGAGCTTAAGATGCACACTGTCTGGTGGGGCAGCCACCTGTTGTGTATAAGGACTGCAGAAGACCTGGGTCCCTGCCTCAGGCATGCCCGTGAGAGCTCAGCACCACAAGGAAGAGACAGGCACAGAGCACTCAGTTGTGCTTCTGTCAAGGGAGTTTACCTGAGACACTGGCAGACCACGGAGGAAAATAAGCCAAAAGACCCAGCCAGCGCTATGGGCTGGGAGCTCCTCAGATGTCCAAATGTGGTCCCCAGGGTGGCAGGTCTGGTAGTTAGGTGCTGCAGATCTTAAAAGCTGGGGCTTGAGGTGGCCAGCGGAATTGTGGAGCCCGAGTCTTCTCCTCTTTCCCTGCCCCCTGGCTTGGGATGTGAGAGCTTGTTCTGCCATGTGCTCCTGTCATGACGTGCTGTCCTAACTAACGAGCTGCCTGGACTTGGGTTTAACTCCAAAATTATAAGCCTACACAAATCTCTCTTTACTTCAAAGGTAGCCTATGGCTCTTTCCCATGGTATCCCCTAGGCCAGTGGTTGTCAACCTTCCTAATGCTGACCCTTTAATTCAGTTCCTCATGTTGTGTTGACCCCAAACCATAAGATCATTTTCGTTGCTACTTCATAACTGTAATTTTGGTATTGATATGAATTGTAATGTAAATATCTGTGTTTTCTGATGGTCTTAGGTGACCCCTGTGAAAGGGTAATTTGATCCCAAGGGGGTCATGGCCCACAGGTTGAGAACCACTGTCCTAGGTGGTCAGCTCTATCAAGATGAGGCTGTCAGAAACTCACTGGATCGGGCTATGAACACAAACTTCACGTTTTCCATGAGAAGCTGTGCCCACAGAAATAGCTGGTGGTGCTCTGGGTGAAGAGTCGAAGGGTGGGAATCTGGTGGGGATGACAAGCAAGGTTTTCCCATAAAGTAGGGTGTCTGACCCATGGCAGACAGAGCAACCTGCTGCTGAGTCAGGGGTGTTCTCGCTAAAGACCAAGAAGAGCTGGAGGGAGGAAGCGAAAGTCTGGGATGTACTGTGGACGCCAACCTGAGTGGTCTCAACTTGGTCACTGTAAGAGGAGAGAAGGATATTTTCCCTGGACTGACAGGTACTGTTGTCTCTTGGTGGTGGGGGCCCAAAGAGATAGCAGAATCCAAAAGCTTTCCAGTCTCTCTACAGAAGGTGATATTGGCCAATATTGTCAGAAAAAAGACCTTAAACAAAGGGCAGCTCAGAGCCAAAGCCCCTAAGAGTCAGCTGTAGCTACTCCACGTGTCCCGTAACACTAATGCTGACATATCGCTCTGAAGAAACAAGAGAAAAATAAGGAGGAGGCTGCAGAATACGCTAGACTTTTCTACA